TGAGTATCGTCGTTAGCTCGGTAGGCTGCGTCGTATACGCGGCTCTTTTTGCGATCACGCAGCTCTCTCCACCGGCAATGGAGGCTGCGGTCAATATCGTACATAACCAGCCACCTTGACAATGGGGTGTTTACGTCAGGGCAGCTCGCTGGTTTAAAGGCTCGCGCGCGCGCATGCGTTTTTTCCCGGCTCGGGGAGCTCAGGAAGGCACTCCCGTCTGATTATTTCCCACAGCCCAAGACCGAGCGGTATTTTTCGGCGCCATTTTTATTTGGAGTAGGGCCACCTGCATGGTGCGCCTTAAGTCGGCTGATACCTTGACCACTCAAAGCCAGTGCGAATTTCAATTATTAAGGGCATGAGTATGATAAAAGTTTTACGCCGAAGTCAGTTCGTCCCATTATTCATTCTAGACTGTTGGCTTCTTTCTCCACGGTCTGTCCATACTTTACCTTCTGGTTTCTCACACTTCACGTATGGGTAGAGAATGCGTCTATTTCTATTGCAGCTATTGGGAACGCTCTTTGTTGTACCAGTAGAACCGTTCACGATACCATAGTTTTATTATATATATGCGGACCGAATTCGAAACATGAATTAATATCGACCTTCTGCGATAGTCGTTACGTGGCCCGTGACTCGGTAAGTTGGCTGCCTTCCTTCCGAGCCTAGACTCGTCTAACTGTGGCAAGAATACCACTCCATAAATTCTTATATATATTTTATGTGACCGGCGCTGTTCATTATTATTATATATAGCGATGAGGTTTATTGCTCGCTTGTCATTGCAAATAAATGAGAGAATAAAAATAAAAAATAAAATAAAGCTCAAAGGATTAAAAAAAGATATCTGTGGTTAGTTATGCCTGAACTCGTTCTGCGAAAGCTTATAGCGCGGATGCGAATCATTGGTGACGCAATCTATATTTATTTCACGGTATGGAAATATTAATCCGTTAGTTGTGCGAATCCAGCTGGGAGAGCGAGCTCTCGTTGGAGAGAAGGTGGCGGGCGGTGTCGGAAGACTATACTTTATGAGTTTTTGGTTGGTTCACCGCTCTAGTTTAGACTATCCAACGGGGAGCGTTAATGACTATTTTATTCTATGCAGCCTGCCCGTGACGACACATCGAAAACAACCATATATCCACATTCTCTCACACGCGGCGCGCTCACCTATTATATATATTATATATTTATCCTTAGTTATCTCTATTATCTAGCCTCACCTCACTCAATTACACACCTCACCCTATACATCATGATCCACATCTCACACAGCCGCTACCTATCCGATGATCACACCCCACCCATACATCATATCCAATCTCACACACGCGCACTATCAGTACACCACTTCATCCCATATATCATTAATCCACATTCTATATTTATATATTATTTACATTCCTTATCACGATCTCACACCCATCCTCACCTTATCATTTACCACATATATATATCCTTATCCACGAGTCTTCACACTGTCCCTCACTCTTCTATATTAACTCTCGCTCATACATCCTTATTCCACATCTCACACACCCTCTACCTGATCTATACACACTCCTACCATACATCATATCCACATTCATCACACAAGGCTCTCCACTTATCAGTTACACACCCCGCGTGAGCGCGTGTGTGTGACGTGTGCGTGCGTGCGTGCGTGCGTGCGTGTTTGTGTGAGTGTGGGTGCGCGCATGCGTGTGTGGCCCTCTGCCTCTCATGTGTGTCTTCGTGTTCCTCTGCCCTTCATGGCCCGCCAGCAGTGTGTAAACGGAAAGAATGAACCTTCTAAGTTCTAGCATAACAATTGTCACATATAGATGTGACTAGCATGGTTGCGCCTATCGACCTATTGTATTCTATGTGCAACACCTTAAACCACTTCTAATTGCCATCGTCATTAGCCGTGGGACTCGGCCAAGGTGTCCTGACATCCGTAACTGCACATGTAATGCAGTACGGTACGGTACGAACGTGAAATGCTATTCGGATGTAACCCTGCTTCCCTCATCCGGTGCCAAAATAACCTGATGATTCACGATTACAACAATCAGAGATATATTTTTATATATTTCCGCGTGCGATAGTTAACGTAAAATGCGTGCACGCACGGCCCACTTGCTTGGGGGGTGATATGATGGCAGTGTGTCATAGTGGCTAGAACTCTAGTACTTATAGCACAGAATTTGTCACCAAACATTGACAGCATAGTCGAGTTGGTCACAGGAATCTGACAATGGATATCATAGCAGTTTACGTGTTTGGCGGAGTGGAGGACTACATAGGTGGTGCTGTCGTGAGGACGTATCATGCGCCATGTACGCTGACGTGCATCACGTAGTCCCGCGTTAAACCACGCGGAACGCGTAGCCTTCAAAATGCAAGATCACGACTGCACGCTCTCTAGCTGTAATTATAAGCGTACCCCTCTAGACGACAATACCTGTGTGCACACACGGTCACGTTCGCTGTGTAGAAGTGTGTCATAGCCATGCCATTTTCAGCCGCCAGCGATTAGTTGATTTCGTTTTGATCACCGAAAAGAGATAACGTGTAGCAGAAGGACATTAAAGAGAGTCTCACTCACTCATCGGGCGGTGCTGTGATCGTGCGAGTATATGACATACGTGTAGTGCATGTCTACTGGTCTGAGGCTACTAACGCGCTGCACACAAGGGACAGCACAAACACGGCTGAATCCCACAGAATGAAGTTGGAAATGGTGGATATGTGCATAGGAAGAGGCTGGTAATTCTCGATCACCGTCTCTGTTGATGTAGTGTCGTGCGCTTTTTTCGTTCAGGCAGCGAATATATATGTAAACGTCTGCAGCTTTGGATGTGTTTCGATATGCGTTGTTGACATGTGTAGAGAGATGTTTCGATCAGCCTGTCTAACCCGTGGCGTATTTATCCTGTGTTTACAGGCGAGCACGATCGCTGACCGGCCCTAGTCCTGTCTACAATTTCGGACCAAAAGCTCGGACGATGAAGAACTCAGCAGGGCTTATGTGAGTACTTTTACACTGGGAGTTAAACGCCATGCTGTGTCTCCCATTAGCCGCGTCGCAGTTTGATAAGTCCCTTGGTGCTCACACGGGCGAGTGGAATGGCACTTAAATTCACATCAATCCCCTAAAAAGTGTGCATATCTAAAGCTGTGGACACACTACGCGATTTTTCATGCGATCGAACCGGCCGGCTCAGTCGGGCGACTCTGTGGACACACTACGCGACTGAGTCGGGCGACTCTGTGGATTTTCAGCACGCTGATTGGCGGCTCGGTCGGCCGGCTCGATCGCATGAAAAATCGCCTAGTGTGTCTACCCCTTAATTAATATCAAGAGCATATTAAGAATGATTTAATTCTTAATACACTCTTTTTAATATCTATATGCCAAGCCACTGCAGTTGCTAGTACAATCTCTGAAGTAGGCCAACGAAGGAAATAGCACCAGTGAGCATTCACCTAACACTGTTTGTGGGGGGGGGGATACGTTTCAGTTAGTGTGTACTGCTTGTTAGTCTCTGTCGAGCTAATGGGGCTCTGCCCTGACGTAGCCTTCATATTCACGGTCCGCTATGGACAGAACGAGCATAGATCGGTGGTAGAACACAAGCTAACGTGACATCGATGCACTCATACCCAGCATGTCCTAGCTCTGGCCCTGGCCTTGCTGTCTAATGGACAGCACTGACTGGATCACGCTCTGTAATTGTCCTTGTTGCGTGCACTGCTGTGACATTTGTTGTGAGTTGGGTGTGATAGAGAGAGGGAGAGACAGATAGAGAGATAGAGAAAGGCGGGAGATAGAGAGAGACACATGCACGTACGTATGCACGCACGCACGCACGAACACACACACATGCATGCACGCACGCACACACACACATGCACGCATGCACGCACACACGCACGCACACACACACTCACACTCACACAAGAGGGAGCGAGAAAGAGAGAGGGGGAGAGAGGAGAGAGAGAAAGATAGAGGGAGAGAGAGAGAGAAAAAAAGAAAGAGAGAGAAGGGGAGATGCCCCGATCATAGGTGCGGGCGCTCGATGTCTGTACGTGGTCGCCGCCTAAACGCACCATCATCGCCGGTTGCAGGTCGATACAGGATCCGGCAAGCCTGCGACTGACGTGGTACAAGACACCATTCAGCGTGCTTGTCATCAAGAAGATCTACGATGAAGACATCATCCGGCCGTTTGTCGAGATCATCAGTCACCTAGTGAAGGTATCGGCACTATCCAGCCGGGCGACTGTGGCCTGGGAGGCAGTGAGGGGAAGGTGGGCTTGTAGGGAGTGAAGGGTGGGCTGCGATGAGGTGGGGAGGGGGTAGTCTGAGAGGAGGTGGGGAGAGGGTGGTCTGATAGGAGTTGGGGAGAGGGTGGGTTAAGGGTGGTAAAGTGAGGGTGGGCTAAGAGGAGGGGAGAGAGCTGGACGGAGGTGAGAGGAGGGTAGGCTGGAAGGTGGTAAAGGGAGGGTGGTCTGTGAGGATGTGAGAGGTGGGTAGCTTTGGAGGAGCTGGGAGGGGTGGGTAAAGGTGGTCTGTGAGAGCGTTCCCATCTGGTGAATGTATCGTAGCACGTCCATGCACGAGTGTCTGGCTTCATGTACGTTTACATACCCTTCTCTGCATGTGAGTAAGTGCAGTAGAGGTAACCATTCGCATTCGTGAGTGCAGTGTGTTCGCGTGGCTATACATATCGAAATGAATGAAATGGAAACGATGTAGCGTGTGCGTGTGCATGCGCGTGTGAGGTGCATGTTGCTACATGTTTACAACTCTACGTTGCAGGAGAGGCGCATGATGGTGTACGTGGAGGAAGCAATACTCAAGGACGTAAAACTGAACAGCAACGAGGACTTTGACAGACTGAAGGATAAATTGTACACCGTCAGTGAAGGTATGCTGTTGATCGACTGATGATTTATGTTGCCAAGCTGTGTATATTTGTAAGATATATAATTATATAGAGAGAGAAAGAGAGTGATTGAGAGAGATTGAGAGAGATTGAAAGAGAGAGAAGAGAGATAGCAAGAGAGAGAGAGAGAGAGAGAGAGAGAGAAGAGGTGTCATGGCAGTGTGATCATTCGTCGTTGATCTATATGAGTTGGATTGACATAACCTCATGCAACGACATTTATCTGGTGCATAAAATTATCTTTATTTTTGTCACATTTGTCTTTACGCGGCAAAAGTTGCGGAGCACAGTGTGCATGCTAAACCACGAGTGAAGTCTGCCACGTTACCCACGCCTCTGTGCAAAGAGGCAACAGACTAGTTGAACCCCACCCAAGTATCACTTATATTGGCTGCAAGTGCTGTAGTGCAGATGTCGAATGTATCTAGCATTCTGTTGTTGTGTTCGATGAGCAGGTCAAGATGACCTCACTGACAAGATAGACTTCATCCTGTGCCTCGGGGGCGATGGAACGTTACTACATGCTTCTAGCCTATTTCAGGTAAGCTCCCTTATGTTCGTGTATGTTCAGGTACATAAGAGACGTGTGTACACGCAAGCACACACACACGTACATGTATAATGTATTCACAGGCCCATACACAGTTTTACAAGTACAGGGGCAAATAGCGGCACACTGTATTGTAAGGCTGTCAGACTTCATATCCTAATAATAATTCATAATATAACTCATTCATTCATAATTTGAGTTTCTTATATTTACTTATAAACAGAGGCAAGAAATGGTTTCAGTTTGTAAAATATCGCAGTTTTGCGAGTATTGTGCTGACGAAGGTAGTGACAAAGCAACATGTTGTATCCGTGCAGGCAGGCGTGCATAAATGCACTGTAGGTGCTAGATATAGTGCACGTATTGTGCCATGAGTATTTTCCCTGTAGTCATGTCAGAAGAACATTTCACATTACAGTTCCCTGACCCAATACGTAGCGTATTTATACCAATTCATGGCCCCTGCATGAATTTTGTTCATGTCACTGCTAGTAATTGTGTTGGTATAGGTTACTGTGTGGACACAGTGGCGTGTTTCCGGTTTGCGTTCTATAGTTAAATATAATCAAGCAAATTTGTGATAAATTTGTAATTCATGATAATTTTGCTTTGGATGGTTTTATCTTTTACGTTTAGTGTTATTTTTGCTGGTTTTTGTCATATCACATTCAAATTTTTTTTTATTTAAATAACATGCATGTTGCATTGTGTGAATTTCTTTGTTTGTCTCAGTATTTATTCATTCGATCGAGCATTTGCCTGTGCAGTCTCTGGCATACCTGTATGCACCTGTTGTTATGCTGGCTATTTGTGCAGCCGAGCACAACTGGAGCGTGATAATACGTGCGATTGAATATTACCTTGCCACTGCTTGCGACGAATTAAATATATCACGTACGCTTGTATGTAAATTCATCAGCCTTGTTTGTGATCATAACTATAAAACGTTTCCGCTTGTTCCTGTTGCAGACGAGCGTTCCCCCAGTGCTGGCCTTCCACCTAGGATCACTCGGCTTTTTGACGATATTTGAATATGCCGAGAACTTCAAAAGTGTTCTGACTTCTGTGTTGGAAGGTAAGGCTTGCGCGACCTTTGGGGGTAGCATCCGTCCGAGTCGCCAGTATATCGCAGCTGTCTTGTCCTGTTTTCTATAGTGGGTAAAGATTTACACCCATGTTCCAGTGGTTTTTCGAATTCATAGGTGAACGGTGTGTCCGTGTGTGCTGTTAGCTTGTGTTGATGGAGTGGTATAGGAAAGTGCATAGCAAGCGAAGCATTCCTGGTCAGGGTGTATCTATCACAGGCTCTGACTCTTGTCACGATAGTGTACATCATGCTGGCATAATCCGGTTCAAAATGAACCACATCCGCACGTTTTCTAAAGCGTCACGAGCGAAATTTATTTTGTGGATGCTTGCCAGTCACTCGAGCGAGAGACTGCCCCCGGGATGTGTGCCGACTCGTGTTTGAAACGCCGCGCTGACGCTGACTCTCTTTATCTTTTTTCCTCATCGCAGGAAATGCCAAGCTATCGCTGCGCAGTCGCTTGAAGTGCGCGATCACGAAGGTGGATTCCGATCTGTCACGTATACCTGTGAAGAACCTGCAGGCTTCCCACCAGAAATCTATGATGGTGAGTATATGTGTGCGTGCGTGCGTGCGTGTGTGCGAGCGTGCGTGCGTGCGTGCGTGCGTGTGTGTGTGTGTGCGTGCGTGCGTGCGTGCGTGCGTGCGTGCGTGCGTGCGTGCGTGCGTGTGTGTGTGTGTGTGAGTGCGTGCGTGCGTGCGTGTGTGTGTAAAGTTGTGTGCTTGATGTGAAGTGTTAACATGTATTCTTAATACGGTGTTTAAATGTTAAACCTGTATGTTTAATTAAAGCAATAATGTGCGTGATTACTATGTAAAATTTCGTGAACATGTGTGTCCAAAATAGGTAATACTATGTGTGATGTAGAGATAACACGAGAATTAACGTTTACTACCAATCTGAGTGCAGTTTCGAACGTTGGCTGATCTTACGTGCGCGGTGTCGCGTACATAGCGTAATTAACATTCCACCTCCCGCAGCCTTCTCTCCTTCTGATCTCCTTCCCTTCCCCGTCTCCTGTTGTTACTCTCGCACGTAACTAGTGTCATAAACCTTGTCGTAATGTCGTCTTAGTGGGAGTCGTTAACCCGAGCTAACGGTGAATTGACACAAATTCGTTCAAGGTTTTCTTACGCCAGCAGATAAAGGATATATATCCGAGCGACTCCGCACGCATTCTAGTGTGCGGTGGGTGCGTCACATAGAAAACCATGCACCTGGCTAGTAGTATATCTAACAATCTCTCTCTCTCTCTCTCTCTCCGTATATCTAACAATCTCTCTCTCTCTCTCTCCGTATATCTAACAATCTCTCTCTCTCCAGTTTTATATACTACGTTATTACTCGCTAGCAAGGGTCGTGTTTGCCTCACGTAGTCGTTCGGCTTTCGTGTGTCGGGTTATTTAATTTAGGTCTCGTTACTTGCATAGTAGGTCTGTAGATTGTAGTACTACTACATGTATTTATCTCTCTAATCGTGCTATGTGAATATGCACGCCCACGCGCAGTACACACCACGGATGCACGCACGCACAACACACGCACGAGCATACATGTCCTCAAACTAGTTGTAATCTGAGGCTGATAAGCACACTCCAACTGTGGAAAATTACCGATGGGGATGACTTGGCAGTTTTTTGTGGGGTTGTACCTGAAAAGGCTTAAAATTGCCCAACGCAGTGGCAATGTGACACAAATATCACCAGGTTAATATGATATATGAGATTAATCAGTATGAATACGAATATGGGTATGAATGGTTATGAATATGTGAAGTTGTCATGGTTTTTTGGCAGTGTTTCACGTCGCTCACAGTCATTCTCCTCCTATAGTGATATTTCTTCCTGATATTATATATATAAAAAAAAAATTATTGACTGGTTGTTTGGGCAACCATGCCATGATTGTATAATCTATAGATATTGATATATCTATTTTTAGATGTTATTACATATCGGTGCGTGTGTGTGTGTGTGTGTGTGAACGTGCATACGTATGTGAGCTTTACAGATCGTGGAACCATGTCGTTCCTGAATGCCATTTATGTGCTGCTTATTCGGGTAGGCATAATCCAACTGGAAGGCCACGGAGAGCCTTTTGTGGCACCTTCTACAGTGTACAATAATTGCGATCTATTAAAATCCATGTGTTGGTCACTTGCCAGCATTCGAAATGCTTGCATTCAGAGCCAGGGGTGCGATGTAAATATAATTGTGTGCAGTGGTGCATATCTTTCCTTTCATCTAGGTCTTGAATGAGGTCGTAATAGATAGGGGCCCAAGTCCATATCTTACCAATTTAGACCTGTACGTGGAGGGCCGCTACGTGACGTCAGTACAGGGTGATGGTGAGTCATTATCGACTTTTTTATATTCCAATATTCTAACTAATCGTCGGCCATGCCGTAGTTGATTTACTGTTGATAGCCTATAATTTCTATGCTCTCAGCGTTCACATCTCTTTTAATTAACATTTTCCTAAACAGAAATTCGATGTCATTGTAATTTTCTTCCCTTCGACAATAGTGATTTATGCATCGACTCCACATTCCACGTCTAAACTTGCTGGCGGGATATGTAACCATGACACTCTGCCCATAATCAACTTTATTATGATATTATTATTACTATATTTATTATTATTATTTATTATGATGCCATAGGAACACACTGCCTGAATCACTCCTGACATATGTTTACATGCACCCAAGTGCTGTCTGTGTGTTTGAGTCATCCAAATTACTACACCAATTCAGAAACAAATAATCACAATGACAGAAGTTCATTATGAAGTAGCAAAAGAGATTGAATTGTTGTGGAGCTTTAAGAGGAAACGTTGACAGTTGTTATGCGTATATAATTTAGGGACCTCGTGTGAGTCATGTCACGCATCTCTGTATTAAAACATGAGGTAACAGGGCCACGTGCACGGCCTTTTGTGAACGTGCCTCGTTGTTCAATAGGGATTTCTGTTGTGCGAAAACGTTTCCTGATTGTCTGACGGTGTTTACCATACGTGCCAGTGTTTTCCCTATGTGATGATGTTTATTCTACATGACGCTGTTCTCTCCGTGACACTGTTCTCTCTACGTGGAAGAATTTTATGTATGTAACCATGTTCTCTTTACCTTACAGTGTTTTCTATGCTTGACAGTGTTTTCTCTGTGTGCCATGGTCTCCTCTATTTGACAGCATCTCTTTTGGGTGAAAATGTCACTTCTACGTAACCGTGTTCCTTCAAGTTCTACTTGATAGTGTCGCCTATTTATAACAGCATATCCTTTATGTGATTGTGACTCTTCTGTGGGGCATTGTCTCCTCCATGTGACAGTATTATCTCTACATGACAGTGTGTCCTATACATGACACTGTCTCTTCTGTGTGAAAGTGTTTCTTCTACATGACAGCGTTCACTTTACATGACCATGTCTTTTCTGTGTGACAATGTTTATTCTACATGACAGCGTTCACTTTACATGACCATGTCTCTTCTGTGTGACAGTGTTTCTTCTACATGATAGCATTCACTTTACATGACCATGTCTTTTCTGTGTGACAATGTTTCTTCTACATGACAGCGTTCACTTTACATGACCATGTCTCTTCTGTGTGACAGTGTTTTTTCTACATGACAGCGTTCACTTTACATGACCATGTCTCTTCTGTGTGACAGTGTTTCTTCTACATGACAGCGTTCACTTTACATGACCATGTCTCTTCTGTGTGACAATGTTTCTTCTACATGACAGCGTTCACTTTACATGACCATGTCTCTTCTGTGTGACAATGTTTCTTCTACATGACAGTGTTTCCTTTACATGACCGCGTCTCTTCTGTGTGATCATGTTCTCTCTACTTGACCGCGTCTCTTCTATGTGACAGTGTTTCCTCTACATGACTATGTTCTCTGTCTCTCTCTCTACGACGTGTAGGTCTGATCATCTCGACGCCGACGGGCAGCACAGCGTACGCGGTGTCGGCCGGAGCGTCGCTAGTACATCCCAGCGTGCCGGCGATCATGATCACGCCCATCTGTCCTCACTCGCTCTCATTCCGACCCATAGTCCTGCCAGCAGGCGTCGAAATCAAGGTGAGTCGCTGCGGACGACGAGTAGTACTGACTGAGTAGTGACTGAGAGTTGCACGTGATGAGTGATCGGGATTTGGTTATTGATCGATGAGTATGGATTATGGCTATATTAGGTGCTATACTCGTCACGGTTGATATGCAGGTATCGACGATTTGATTATTGATTGATGAGTATTGATACTTGGTGTGGTTGATATGCAAGTATTGATGATTTGATTATTGATTGATAAGTATTGATACTTGGTGTGGTTGATATGCAAGTATGTGGAATGATTGATCATTGATTGATAAGTATGATGACTGTGTGGTTGATCTATGCAAGTGATTAAGAATTTGATTATTTGATTGATATAGTTTCGAATAGCTTGGTGGTGGTTGAGTATGCGAGTATCGACGAGTTTGATTTAATTGATTGATGAGTAATCTGATACTTGGTGTGGTGAATATGTCGAGTATCACGAACGTTTGATTATTGATTGATAAGTATTGATACTTAGTGTGGTTGATATGTGAGTATCGACGATTTGATTATTGATTGATGAGTATTGATACTTGGTGTGGTTGATATGCAATTATGGATGATTTGATTATTGATTAATGAGTATCAATACATGTTGTGGGTGACATGCGAATATTGGTGATTAGAATAGTGATCGATAAACATCAATACTGATCATACTGCTGTATGTAAGGATGAACGAGTTAAAATTAGTTTAATCAACATGATATAAGATCGTGAATGCTTAAAATCTGTAATCTGTTTCACTGGCATGTCGTAACTTACTGTTGTTGTTTCTGGATTAGATGATGAGTTTTCTCTTCGAACGTTTAATTGGATTTCCCTAACGTTTAATTGGTTTTCCATTCTAACTACAGACATCAAGCTGCTATGGAATTGCATGAAATAATGGCATAAATTCTACTTGCAGTTCATCATACTAGCAATATATGATTGTTTTTTGTATGTGGAATACCAGCAATATTTATTTGGCAGCAAGATTTGCTCTATGTGAATTTAAGTGGCCTTATAAATGGCCTAATTATAATGGCTTCTGTGAGAATTAACCCTACAGCCATGCATACATTATATCATTGGGCATTTTTGAACTCACAGGTTATGGTATCACCTGAAGCTCGCTCCACAGCCTGGGTCTCGTATGACGGCAGGAACAGACATGAGCTGGCACATGGTGAACTGTAAGTACACGTTGAACTACCCACTAACGTCTAATGAACAGCATTGTCACCCTTTGTGTGTGGGTGTGTGTGTGTGAGTGCATGCGTGCGTGCGTGCGTGTGTGTGTGTGTATGTTTGTGCATGCGTGTGCGTGTACGTGTGTGTGCGCGGGCACATGTGTGTGCACGCGCGTGCATGCGTGTGTGTGCGTTTGTGGGTGTGAGCAGTTGTGTGCTTTTAAAACACTTGCAAAAGTTTTCTGGTTGCTGGTATTGCTATTGTTATCATTATAAATTTCCTTGGTATTGTTGCTTTTGTCGTTGTTGTTGTTGGTGTCATTGTTGTTGTAGTTGAAGTTGTTGTTATTGTTGTTGCTACTGCTGTTGCTGTTGATGCCGTTTTTTGTTGTTGTTTTGAGTTATTGTTATTGTTATTATTGACATTGTTGTCGTCGTTTGTTGTTTTTATTGTTGTTGTTGCTATCGTTGGTGTCGTTGTCGTTGTTGTGGTTATCTCGTTAAACATCCATCTCACAAGTAGCCACTGCAGTATCGATGCTTTCGTGCGCCGCCGTGATGCAGACGCGTGCTCTTCGTCTCATTGCAGCCTGCGCGTGGCGACCGCCATCTACCCGGTGCCGTGCATCTGCCGCGATGATCAGATCATGGACTGGTTCGACTGCCTCGGCACGTGCATGCACTGGAACGTGCGCCATCGCCAGAAGCCCTTCATCGGCATCGGCAACGGCATGACTCCCTCCAGCAGCAGCAACAGCCTCTGCTCGCGAAATTCCGGCTCCGACACAAACTGCGACAACAGCTACTAGCGGGCGTGCCGGCGCAGAGCGTGGCAACGACTGCTGACATGCTCAGAGGCTAGCTGATACCTGCTGTGGCTGCTCTAGTGGGAGGATGTTGACATCAGCAACAACGGCTGATAGTGGCAGTTTGTGACTCACCATAGCAATAAATTTTAGATAGTGTAGTCTGCAAGAGGAATGGTACCGTTGGGCTCGCTTAGGGGGTTGGGAAGAGGTATACAATTATCGTATCTACAAATAGAGCAATCGTTGTATAGCACTGTCAAACAGTGAACGTTCTCGTTGCGTGATAGTTTACACAATTGTGTAGCTTGCTTTTAATGCAGATGTACACATTTATGATTATACGTATGTATATATACAGTTTGTGTTGAAGTGGAGTTATACGCAAAACAAATACTTGAAATCTTTTGCCGGTGCGTTACGCGTAACTGCTAGCTTTCTGGGCAAGCTATCGAGTGAATTTTGTTTATTGGGTGAAAAATGGCTGGGCATTAGCTTGATGCTAATGCTAAGCGTGGCAACAGTTATAGAGAAGGACCTCCATGTATTATATGACTACGTAGTGATCGGACAGAGCAGTATATAGGTTCAGTATGCACGGATTAGTGAGTTTTCGCTCTTCGTTTCGCGTATAATGGTGCCTCAAGGTATGATGTGGTGAAAGAGTTGCATGGAGACGTGCCGTGTAACCTGTACATAGCGGGTACTCTCGAATACTGTTATATAGATTCGGGTTTGTTCACTAGATTGCTGGTGGTAATTGTAAGATATCGGTTAAATAGCATATTTAAATATTACTATATGCATTTATTTGTTTCATAAATCTGTGACGTATTGGATATGAACGTGTGTATCGTAAACGAGTTAGTAATTTCTATCATTAAATGAATCGAGCACAAATATATATATATATATATCATATATATTGAGCTAGGGGGATTGAAAGAATAAGATAGAAGGGGAAGTGGGAGAGACGGAGAGAGGTGAATATTGAGTGAGCAAGCTAATGAGTAAAAGGGAGAGGCGCAAAAAAGAGAAGGGGGGGCGATTGGGAAAGTTCCTCATCAAGCAGTAAACTAGAGATCGAACATGAAAATCAATGGGTCATTGGTTCACTATCAGCTATTGTTACACACATGCTCAGGCGGGACCAGTGAGAAACCTGTTAGTATTTCATTTGTGACACGTGTTTTTCTTGGTTGATGATGAAAGAGCATTGTGACGCATGTTCTACTGATAGATGCTAATTTAAGCTATCTTGTCAACATTGTCCCCCAATGACAGGAATGAGCCCCGATTTCTTTACTTTCCAACAGATGACGAAATACTGTGCATGATTACAATCTCGTGACTATTGACATTTTATCATCAAGAAAACCAGGAAATGTTAATTCCACTATTGCGTTGCTGGGAAAATGTAGGTGTAGAGGTACCTTGTGTCTTTCATTCTAGTTGTAATATGAAGTAAATTGCCATGTTCACTACTCAGAATGGAATATTATAGTTGGAAAGTTATAGTTAGGCTACCGAGGTTATGGCATGAAATGATTATTATATTCGTTATTGGCATGTTTCATACGAAGAACGTGCAAGAGTGCAAAGATATACAGACAAAATCTGAAAATGCTGAAGTCGAATGTGTAACCTGGTAGTGCTAAAAGCTTGACCACAGTTTGTGGCGCCACTATGGCCACTTGCTGTTATGTTCACTGTGTGAACAATGCGTGTGGTTGAGAGAGGTGCGCGGAAAGGTAGTGATAATAGATTTCTCGTGACATTCTGTGTGGGGTACCGACGTGCACTGTGTTACGTCGTTCACGATTGACATTCCACACCGAGCAGTAAATGCTCGTGTCTATGGTTGGACATTGTACTCAGAAATAATTATTTATATCGCTGTAAAAATAATTCAACCGCGGTTAAATTATGCGCAGCAAGGCCTCTGGTTGGGTGAAAGGGCAATAATTCAACCGTGGTTAAATTATGTTTAAGCCCGGCGCACACGTGAGTAATTTTGCTCAAGTAAAATGATGTATGCGTCAAAATACTCACGTGTGCGGCGGACTTTCGTTGAGTATTTTGACGCATGCGTCATTTTACTTGAGTAAAATTAAATAAAATTTAACCGCGGTTGAATTATTGCCCTTTTACCCAATCAGAGGCCTGGTTACACATAATTTAACCGCGGTTGAATTATTTTTACCGCGGTAAAAATTATTATTTTTGAGTACGATGGCCAACCATACGCGCCACGTCGCGAGTGCGTTGCAGTCCTGATAGCTGACACGGCTACTACCTATTGCGCCGATTGCGTTGGTGCATTACGCCATAGTACGCAGTAAAACACCACCACTGCCATGGGTGAATTATGTGTAGTTGTAACATGCCGTAACTACATTACGTTTCTGGAAATTCTGATTTTTAATGTGTTCGTAATATGTTCTTCGCCTCCCGATTCCAGATGCGCTGGGTGTAAGGTTGCGGTATTTATTTTCTGATATTTTGTTTGGCGTTGGCGAGAAACCACTGATAGCGAGTCGGTGACAACGATAGCTATGCGGACGTTGATTTGTAGGCATATAGAGCAATAATGGTGGATGCACATAATTATGTAACTGTGATGCCTGGTAACGCGGTGTTTTGCGGTTAATAATCAGAATCTTTGCTGTGCCCTTTATAGAATTTCATTCCGTTTAACAACTGATGAAATTAATATCGTAACTTATTATTGTGTGTCGTGACGCAATCGTGTAAATTACATCACTGACATGTGCGGACTTAGATAAGTAAAGAGTTAAGATAAAGGGTTTCACGTTTTTTTACATATTTATTTTATGTTGTTCAATTTGAAAAAATGAATATAATATTAGTTTGAAAAATGCACTGATGTCGTCCGTGTGCACTTAATCCGTGTGTCATTTGGGGAAAGTCACAATCCAGAGTTCTCTACTTTTGAACATCTTGATTTACTCTGCGATATAATAGTTTTCTTTTTTAGACAAGGTGTAGATAAGATGTAGTCATTCGTAGCGTTCTGTACTGTAGACAGTGTGTACACTGATGAAAACTTGCATTGAGATATTATATAATATATTAGTTGAATTAAAGATTTTATGGCAATGCCACAAATATTGATTGTAAACTGACAATGTTTTGCTTATTAATAAAATATTATTACCAAATTAACCGCACGGACGCACGCACGCACGCACGCACGCACGCACGCACGCACGCACACTCACACACAGATTGTTCTTAACAGTTCACCTTGTTAGCCATACTACGTTTAAGGCAACTTCTGAAGACGTGGTGATGTGTAGTTTGTAAATGGGGCATAGGTATAGACATTTTTATATCAAACCACTCTTGGGTATGACCCTTCTCTACATTGTAGTTGTGTAAGTCGACTCCAATTTCGTTGTCAGACGCTGAGCTTGGGAACACTAATTAATATGAGAGAAATAATATTTGGCAACAATTTTGCACCTCATAATTATTTTAGGGAAATATTGTGATATCGATTTTTCATAACAAACTACTAGTAAATTTGGGCTTTCTTCTTTAAATATATAGCTTGAATAAAATAATTTTTGGAAGATACTAGACATGCGCGAACGAAATCTAACTGATATCGTATAAGGCAAGTTAAGCGCATTGTTCACGTAGGCACACAACGCATGCACTCACTCGTACACGCACAACACATAATAATAATTATAATAATAATAGTAACAACAACAATAATAATTATGCTAATACTTAAAGCACTATTTCGATCCACAGTTTTATTACTCGGTATGCTAAATTAATCATATTGTATTCACTTGCTACCGCTTAGGTGATTAAATCACGTGCTATTGTTTAAATCTATATGGCCAAGGAAAAAATATATCTTCTGAAGTAGTTATGATATTATGCTAAGATACAGACAAGGGCCAAGTATTACTCTGATTATAGACTAAGAGCGTAATTTAAATTGTCCATTGTTTTTCATGCATTACGTATATTTAAGGACATAATAATTATAGGATGTATCGATAACATAAACGAATATAATACGTCTATCGCGTTATCAAGCGACATATCTAGAAGTTCTCAAAGTGATGCAAAAACGCAGCGCCATCTTGCGTGTTTAGTTCGGCGCATGCGTTGTCGACGGAGCTCGTCATTAGTGGTGGACCACAGCTGAACACACCGATTTTAGCCACCTGTGCGAGAACAGCAAAATCATACATTAACTGAAGCTGCAATTAACGTATAACATCAGTTATGCATACAATATTAACTTATCTACGTGTATATGTCTACATTTAAATATTTATCATAATATATATAGTAGTACGTATAAGTATAATTGTAGCGTGACCTCAGTCTAACCGCTATAAGAATCTAGTTTAATATAGATAAGCTTTTACGACCTGATCAGACGCTAAAACGCGCACATCAACGCGTGGTGCCCCTTTAGACGCAAACATTGAACTAGAGCCCACTTAAGTTGGCATAATGTGTACGACAGCTGTATATATTGTGTAGCGTGTGCCTATTTACGTGTATGTAATGTCTAATGATATATAATAATAATAAAAAGTACAAATCTACATAACTTGTACGATTTAGATTCGTGCGACGCGCAAGTAATATATAATATGCTGAATGTGCAAACGCAGTTTTCTCGCATGCGCATACGTACCTCTGGATGTTCATCCTGCAGTGAGTTGAGAAAGGAGGCGAACTGAGGTCTGCCGAAGTGAGTGATGGATTTCAGACCCGTGAAGAGACTGCGGCCGGATATCTTCTGGAAGTGGCTCTCGCAGACGTACTAAAGAAGTTACATTTGAAGTTAAAATGAAGCGCTGATTCTGCTATAATTGCGTTATTCAGCCCTGCTGTGTAAGCTTCCATGAACTTAGACAAGTTCGATTGTGAATAACCCCTACCACCAAAGTTAAATGTCATCAATCGCCAAGACATTTTATTTACACGTTTGATATCGTCATTATTGTTTTCCTGTCTCTTTATAGGAGCATACTAAACGAATGTAGACTGCGTTCGTGTAACACGTTCGTTTACGTTTAGCACCATCACGGCTAATCACTCTTCCGCATTTCACATAACTACAACTAAGATAGAGGTGGGCAACCCTCGTTTTATTGCTAACTTGCTCACTTGCTAAACTATTAGATAACGCACCAGCATCGTTGTGCGTAGGTCAAACTTCTGGTAGAACTGTGTGATGAAAATGTGGGTGGAGACGAGTCCCCTAGTGTCGTTGTTCTCTACGTCCTGAATGATATCTGTCATCCACTCAAACTGCTTCTGTGTCCTCGTCACCCACAGGAAATACACCTTTCGCGGCAAAGAAGAGTTCCACACTTACACGCACTCGGGTAAGTGCCAAGCGAATAATATGATTACAACATCACTTGCAATGGGATATAAAAAACGATGTATGTCGGTAATAAAAGTGTGTTGTCTGAGGCAAACAAGTACCCTTACCTTTTTGCAAGCGAAGTTTGTGCTAACGCTGGACCTTGAAACGAGGTCTTTAAGAATCGAGGCGAATGGTGTCACACCAATGCCACCGCCAACTAGGACGGCTACCTCGAACTTGTACCAGTCCTGATGCCCTTCACCGTACGGCCCGTCCAAGTATAGCTGTGTGTGCAGGGCGAAATTACTAATTAATTGCATATTTTATCTTAGTGCTCCGCAAACCACGTGATATGTTTATGACAAATAACCACTAAACTGCAAGCGTTTGAAACGTATCGATTGATCAATTGATTATCAATCAAATAATAAAAATATTAAATAATTCCCGTTGAATGTCCACCGCCCGTTCGTGTGTTTCCATCAATTTATTATTATATTCCTTAGTTTATCGATATATCCCTCCCTTTATCCGTCATGTTCGTTTGCATGTTCTAATATTTTTTATAATCACCTTTGGATAGGAGTGTTCTCTGATGACATTTGGATCGTATGTTGACCGTAAGTTGATGGTCCATGGTCCCACAGCTCTGATGTGCAGGGTCAGATGTTCCTCGTGCGGTGACGACGTCAGCGTGAACGGATGGTATTCGTTCCTACCCTGCGTCACGCACGCAATGCGCACCCACTGACCAGATCGATACTCGAAGTTCTGAGGTCTCTTGAACGTGAGAGCAGTGACATCTATCGGAGGAGAAGCGTTGTTTTTATTAGCACGTGGCTGGATATGTTACGAGTGGATTGAGCATGGGGCGTTCGTAATCGATATCGGAACAAACTCTCATGGGAAGACATCATCACAAAGATCCGGAAGTTTAGTCCTATGCCTGTATAAGGCACATTTTATAAGGCACATTTTATAAACAGCACCATAAAATATATAGGTGGCAAATATTCTGCTTAAATTGTTGCGCAGCTCTTCCTACTACTGCTACTTATCACCCATCTTCTCTCATGCCTATCGCATCGCAGTTCTCCCACTGCTCACCAGATGGCAGGATTTCAGCTTTGATGACAGCGATCTCGATTTTCTTTCTGCTGATGCTGACGAGCCGGTCGAGTGTGAAGAGAATGCCCGGCCCGAGGAAGAAGTAGAAGAAGAAGCCGTTCTGCACGAGCCTGCCGGCGCCATGAATGAACATGAGGATGTACATGACGACGTAGAGGTTGTGCGTCGCCCAGAACCACTTGAACACGTGCCGACGCGAGTACTGGATCGCGAACGTGTAGATGAGGATGACGACGAGAGTGACGAGCACGCCGGAGAAGCCTGCAGGAATAAGACAAGCGCAGCGGTCATGGCTGACATCTCACGATCTCAGCGCGTCGCGCGAGGTTACGATTTGCAGTACTGG